TTAGTTTTAGAGTTATTCCGCTAAAACGAATTTGGTACTTTTAATGCTCAAAATTCAACATCTCCTGTCGCATGTCACGCGAACTTCAGGCATATATTTGTTTCACAAATTTGGGCGGAGCCAACGTCAAAACTTTTTTGGCATGCTCCCTCCTAAATATAGCAAAAAATATATAAATATACCTACTGTGCGTATTTAGGTATAATTATATGTACTAATATACATGTAGGTATACTATATCGTTATTTATTATTTGATAAAATATAATGTTAATTATTGTTTGTCTATACAATTCAAATTTTGCTATTGGCACGCTACGTATCGCGCTCTGATTAGTTTTTCTATATTTCAAAGGTTGTCTGGATGAGAACCCTCTTAGCGATAAGGCCGCCTTTGCCCACATTAGTTTTAAGCTGTCTATGTACTGTTTTTGTTCCTGTGTGTGAACAGTAAAGTGTATATCTATCTATCTATCTAAAAGTCAAAGAATAAAACTTGTTGTTAATGATAGTAACATAAGTTCTGGGAGGGTGTTAGTATTTTACGATAACCTATATAATTCATATGTTAAATATATGTCATGTTAAATAGTAAGAGTCGTTACACACTGCAACTTTCAGCAGCGATTGCATCGATACACTTGCGATTTATAGGCGATTGCATCGATGCAATCGCGCGCCTCCATCTATACAAACGCGCGACTGCATCTATACAAACGCACGACTGCATCGATACAAACGCGCGATTGCATCGATACAAACGCGACGCGCGATTCTTCTTCTACTTCAAGTGCCTCTCCATTATTGAAGGTCAGCAGTCAGTTTTCTATATCTTTCTTTGTCCAGAGCTAACCTGAACAGTGTTGTGCCACGGTCTTGATGACGGTCCACTCTCTGATGTTACGAAGCTATGACGTGTGTAAAGGTAGACGATTAGTGACTGCATCGCGTTTGCATCACGAGTAAAAGTCGCCATGTGTAACAGCTCTAATATTGCATAACATACATCAACTGTGTTATATGAAAGTATGTGCATCAAACTATGAAATGCCTACAAGGGCGTGTTGACCTTGCCAGAGTGTTCTCTTAATTCAAAATTGCTTCTATAATCTTTCTCAGGACCTATAATCGACTTCGCTGACGAGTATTACTTCGAAGCTGAGGAAATCAACTTAATTAGCGGTGTTGTCAAACCCTTCCAAGTATGGTAAGTGTAACGTTTTATCGCCCTTCAAAAAAAGACTATTTACAAAAGTACTAACTCAATTTATTTGTATTTCATATAGAAATGTTGCTAACTTCTCTTAATTAGACGCAACCATTGTCCCGCTAGGACTCCACCACCACTCTTATAATAAGGCTGGCTGATTTCGGAGCAACAGACTAACACTATATCTTTCAAGGATGCAATTCGTAAGTTTCGACCTTTCTGGTAGGCACTGCCGACCAAGTAGATCAAGCATTGACTTGGCAGCAACACATTGACCATTTTTGTGGAAAACTGGCGAAAGCATGCGTTGCCTTAAGTCGTATCTCTGCGACACTTACAAAAGTCAGAGTTCATGCATGCTATTTTGTCTCCGTGCAACCGGTATTAGAATATGGCATATAATTTTGGGGAAACGCGGCGGATTGACGAACGTGCTTTCCGACTGCAGAGACGTACAATACGGGCCGTGACGCGTATTTCTAATGAAGAGTGCACACGGTCGTACTTTGTGTCCTTGGGGGTACCGACGCTTCCCTGTCTGCTGATACTCCAGACAGCCATGTATGCACGTCAGCACTTGCGTCAGAACGCACAGAGATGCGACAATGAGTGGTACACACTGCAATATCGAAGCCGCCTTTGCGGTAATCTTCACCGGTAAAGTCGTTTTAAACCAAAAATAAATATTTTCAACAAGCACATAAGGTACGCTGGTTCATTCCATGGCTTAGTTGGCATAGCGTTAGAAGACGTTGGTTCGAATCCAGCCGGATCGACGGAATTTTTTCTAAAAAATAATAATTATATGAATGTTGACATTGTAATTAAACTGTTCACGAATAAAAAAGAATCCGTTAATAGGTTTTCAATAATTATCCTTGCAGGTATAGCGCAGAACAGAATAAAACACGTGTAGACCTGTACGATGGTACCGTTAGTAGGTATTACTACGGAATCGGTGATGAATCTTACGCAGAATACAACGGCGACGACGAGGCGGACACCTTGATCTACATGGTAAAGTTTAAATAAAGGAAATGAAACTATTTTTCCGGATTTAAATCGCGTATATTTGTTTTTTCAAACAAACCGACGTTTCGGGCCCTTTATTGAAAAACAAATATACGCGATTTAAATCCGGAAAAATAGTTCTATTTCCTATGTGTAACAATCGCGAAAACCTAAGAACTCGAAAAGTTTAAATAAGCCTAAACATACATAATATAGCTCTACATTCTTAAGGATGACACTTTCAAGATTTGCCTTCAAATATTGATAAAATATTTACGGATTATGAAGGTAATTACGCGGTTTACAGCTTTATCTTGAGCTACAGGATGAAGGTGGTAAGTTTGATGACCGTGACCATGTTCGCATAGATACCCTGGATGCTATTTATGGAAACGTTGCGTGTTTAATTAAGAATTTGGAAAATAGTTGAACATTGGTCTTGGTCAGGGCGTTTTTTTATAAAATTGTAACTTTTTTTTTATTAAAAAAAGACGAACTCAAAAGTTCTTGGAATTATATCTATTTGCCAAGTTTTATTGAAATCGGTTACCGGAAAGTGCGCGAAACCGGATCCATCCCCTAGTCAACTTTATGTCACAGGGCGACGGGCGAGTGGCAGTGCCACAATTTAAAGCTCAGAGTGCCACTGCAATTGTCGTTTATCACCAGGCGTACGACTTGCTATAATCACCCGTCACTTGATATAATAAAAAAATGTGGAAGGCAATGTTTCGTGAGAATCCTTGAAATATCCACAACATAGGAGGGTGAAAGACATCGTTCAATTCCATCGCACTCTCCGTGATATACTCAGTGGGAAACCGATAGCAGGCAATTTCACGGCGTTGTTTCAGGCTCTGCAGCTTTGCCTCTACTGATTCCGAGTCAAAGTGGCCAGTTGGTGCATAGAACTACAATATTAAGAATAATACTTTTAACGATTGCCCGAAAAACATGGATACGAAATCTACGGATTATGACAGTAATTATATGGCATACATATAAAAAATAAAAATAAATAAAATAAAAATCATTTATTTCGAACCGTAGTCCATAGTATTAGTAACAAGTAACCTTATATACTATGTTAGTAACAGCATATTTATGACAGAATTATCTGTAATAAACAAAAGGAAACAAGGCACCACTACGGCACATAATGATTGTACGTGACAGCGGTGTCCTTAGTTATGTGAACGCGCGTCCAGTGCTGCATTACAGCACTGTCCACGTGCAGTCTATCTGCTACTGTCCGCAGGAGACCGTTGGAGCTGCCCCGCACCCTCTGTAACAGGGATGTGATACGTTTTCTGATGATGGCAGAAAAGCTATCAATCTCAGACGTGGCTAGCATCCCTGAAGCACTACAGTAACGTGGAAGCCCCATCAGCGCCCTGAAAGCATTGTTATATTGCGTACGCAGAGCCCTGTATGCACCCTGAGTATAATTCAACCACAGGCTGCACGTGTACAGAGAATTACAATAAGCTCTAAACAGTGTGACTTTAACTTCATTAGTACAACGCGCAAACCTCCGAGAAAGCAAATTAGCTCGAATGGATCTTTAAGTCTTTTTTCCATAATATCAAGTATCGGGACGAATAAGTCTTACTCTTCATGGTTATATGACAACAGTTACAGTGCCACTCAGAGCTTTAAATTGCAAAGGTCTAAGGGGCATTGTCATTGCGCCCGTCACCCTGAGACATAAGTTGACAAGTCCCATGTGCCTGTAATTTAACCAGCACCTCTCTTCAAAACCGGTACAATAATACTGACATTACTGATTGGCGGCAGAAATAGATAAAGGAGCTCCTAATAAATAACTTTTTAAGGCCTGCTTTAGAAACGTTACTACAAGATCAAGGTTGCGAATTTGATGACCGTACAGATATTCTGGATTCTATATGAAGACGGGGTTCTATTTATAATTTAGGAAATAACTAAACTGTACTCCTGGTCAGGGTGTTATTTGTTATTTCTGACTGTTACATAATGAAAAGCAATAAAATACGAGCGTGAATACGAGTGTTTTAATGATTAATTATGTACAGTTACATACACTGCTTTATCTATACACATAATATAAGCTCTCTGTGATGTGTTCAGGAACCGCATGTTACGACTGGCGAAATGGCGGCAAATAAAAACTTTTCTCACGCATGTCACACAACCGTAGTTTTTATTTAATTCATAGACAAACTAGAGTCGGCCCCAACTATCATATCGTTCGATATCAAGTAACGTGTGAAATTTGTCACAAAATTGTTTGCTATTGACATTTCATTTTGAATAAAACTTCATCTCAACTGATATTAGAATTGAGGTCGAATCAAATTGTTTTGTTTTTCAGAGAAGTTCGAAATTAGAATGTAGTAATACAATCGAATTCGATGGTAATGTTATGCAATAATAACTTTTTTACAGATAAGAAGTTTGTTCTAACAAAACAGTTTATCTATAAGCTGGTCGTAATTTGCGGTTTTTGAACAGATCATAGACTATTCCATCGTCTAAGGCAGGGGTTCCCAAACTTATTCTGTCTACTTTGAGAATAAATTATTTTTTAGCGCTCTAATTTTTTCACATAGTTACAAACCACTATAACTTCAAATTAAATTAATTATTGTGAGCTATATTAGCGGAGATTAAACATTCATTCTAAACGAGACTTTTACTATAACCCGCAAGTTAACTTGAGACCTGAGCGCAGTAGGTAGTACACTACGGCGTTCAGGTCTCAAGTTAACTCTTACGGGCTACATCTGCCAATGAGAATGATTATTGAAACGCAACTTTATAGTATTCAGACAGAGTATCTTTTATTCAAAATAAAAGAAACATAATCGATTCTAATATAAAAACGAATGTTTAATAAGTTTGTTGATATCAGGTTCCAATTTACTCAAGAACAATCGCAAGTCACCACGTCCGGTAACATGCAAACGATTTCTCTTTTTAGTAAGCAGCGTTGTCACAGCTCTAAAACCACGTTCACACAAATATGACGATGGGAATGCTATCAAGCCAAAATTCTTGGTAGCCATTTCTGAACTTGATTTTTATTTCCTCGTTCGTTGTCAATTCTATAAGTTCTTCTTCCAGCTGAGGTGATATTGCTGTGTTGACATATGAAAACGGATCCAACACCCAGTCTGGTATTTCCAAGTTCAAATTGTCCTGATATCGTTCGGTGAAATCAATGTGGAGGTTTTCCAAATGTTGGCAGTAGGCAAACAAGTCGTCGTTACTGCACGATACTGATAAATTCGGAAAATTGTGAAACTCACGTCTGCCCATATTCTTTTTGTGTAGAAGCAGTTTGGCTGCGAAAGCAGCAACGACATTTTTTGTTTTAATTAAATTTAGTTCATTGCCTTGAAGTTGGAGATTCATGTCGTTGAACAATTTATACAGGTCTGTCATGTAAGCTATATCATTCTTTGATGTTATGAGCTTGTTGCGCAATTCTGTATCTTTAGTTTCCAAGAACTCTATCACAGAGTCAAACAGGTTGTAAAATCGAGTCAGACAATTGCCTGTAGATCGCCAACGAACTTCAGTATGAAACAACAAACGGTTGAAATCTTCGTCATTAGTAACACAAAGCTGATAAAATAATCTATCATTCAAAGAGCTGTTACGGATTTTATTATACTTTGATGACATATTGCCAATGATTGAAATAGTCGTTCACTTAAATTTCTAACAACCAAATCTGTCCATGAATAATGCAATGTACAGCAAGGACATCTGGAATTTTATTTTTTAAGTTCGCTATGAAGCCTTTATGGCACCCATATCAACTGATGTAATATTTTCCAAGGGAATCTCTTTCTCATCACAAAACTTTTCCAATGTATTGAATATGGTTTCGCCTTTTGTATCGGTCTCTAAATTTCTAGCAAACAATAGTTCGTCACATATTTTCTCATCTTTAATAAACCTCACGTAAGACAGCAACAATTCTTCATTAGTTGGTAAAGTGGACTCATCGAGCTGAATTGAGAATTGACTAGTCCTCAGATGATTGCACAATGATTCTTCAATGTTTTCAGCCATTTCATCAATTCGTCTTTCGTCAAAGGAATTTTTCGGATAATATCTGCGGCCGGTTTATGAAGCACAGTAGTTATTACTTCCTTCATTGCTGGCAAAATTAACCCTTCTCCGATGTTGTGTGGTTTGCCTTTTTGAGCAATTAACAAAGAGATATTGTACGAAGCTCGAAGCCCGTCGTCATCTTGCTTAGCAGCCGCCGAAAAGAGTTTTGCTACACTTGGCTGAGTATTATGCTTCTTCTTTAGGTCTTGAAAATATGCTACAATTTGTCTTTCTTATCTGGATGCATTTTATTCAAATGATGTTGCAGTCTTGAAGGCTTCATTGCTTCATTCGAAAATGTTTTTAGACATAGAAGGCACAAAGGCGACGATGGGTTTGTGGGATTTTCAATGAATCCGAATTTAATATATTCCGCACAGTTTTGCCGTCTCTTCTTTTTTACTTCCGACATTGTTTTGTTTTGAGAAATATGTAAGTAAGTGTTGAATTTAAGTATGCTTATCTATTACGCGCGAAACCGCAAATGAAAATAAAATAAATATTACGTTGTTTAAATGGGATTGCATAAGCAGCACGCACCGACAGGAATAAGATAAACATGCATAAACTAGTTTATCTCATTCGACGCTCAATCGTACTCAACAAGTAAGAACAAGTATTCTATGAACCAGCCGATTGATACAGGAATGCACAAATCGGGTTACTTAACAAAAACTTGTTAAAACATGATTGCCCGCGGTCTATTATCTACGAAAGTTACCTATCTAGGAATACTAATAACTATTGAAATGCGAAACTGTGTCTGTTGTCTTTTTATTTGTTTGTTTGTGTCTACTTTCATTTCAAAACGGAGCGACCGACATGATTTTTATTTTATTTATTCATTAAAATAGGACAGATATATGAACTACACGGAGAGAAATATCGAACAGAGTTAGTTTGAGCAATCTCTTAATTAATATTAGTTGACGTTCACAAGTTGTAGTCGAGAGTCGAGAGCTCAGTCGGTGTCTAAGAGTCTTCCTAGATGAAATTACAAATCTCCCCCTAAGCCTCTACACAACGCACCCATTTTTGGCCTGCAGCACCCACAAGGGGGCGTTAGCGACCACTTTGGAAAAGGCTGGTCTAAGGTGTAGATAAAATCTTTATTATTTAGTGCCTAGGTATGTAATATACGTAATAATTCCCTTATCGTTATTGAGGCCATTAATGTGGTATAGAAAATTCACTAGTTGGTCCGTATGTGCATTTTATATTTCTTTTTATCGTCAGATTAACCCAGTTTACAATGAAGAACTTGAAAATGTATCCGAAACATGCAACGTTGATAAAGACAAAGTTGACGACGTGGAATTCTTGCCGAGGTTGAGTGATTTCAAATACCAAGGTAAGTACAATTTGTATGAGTTCAGGCTTTTATGTTGTTTTTGTCTTCTGTACTGTAAAATGTACAAGTATATACTTCCTAGATATCTGTAAACTGAGTAGGTTTTTCGTCACAAACGCATCGAACACATTAGGGCGAGTTGTCATTATGTCGTGACGACAGAAAGTCGTGCAGTTTAAAGAGTCGTGACTTGCATATTTAAATGAAGTTGTTCACATGTAGTAAAACACGATTAACCGTCATTCATGACTTTTTTGTCGTTACGACGACAGGCTGTCATGATTATGGGATGAGATAGAATGACAGTCAGATAAAAATGTGACAACAGATAATCGTAGCTTCAAACGATTTTGTCGTGCAAACGACAACGCGGCTGCCATGAATCGATGAATTGTCACGATCTAGTAACAACACCTAGACACGACAGTCATTCAACGATAAAATAACACGACAGATAGTCGTGACTGTGTGTCGTGCGTGATATTTTTTTTGTGTTAATAATTTATTTTCTTCAAGCATTATTTTGTCCAATTTTGACCATAAATTAAATAATTGAATGATAAAAAAATTATATCACTTATTATGCTTCTTAATGTTAATAAATAAATAAATTTTATATAATTAATGACACAGCTTGTATACGAGATTAATAATTAATTAGTTACTATCATTGTAGTGTCCTTACAGGGTTCATGTGCTGGAATACAATTATGTAACACCTCTGTTAATCCACATGATACAATGAATTATGAATAGTCGTGATATGGGAACAGGTTAGACGCGACAATCGTCCAACGATAAATCCAACGTCACGACATATGGGAACGTGCCCTAGCGGTAAAGTCGTTTTGCTATAAGAACATTAGCAGCACCTTTAGTGAAGCGTATCTGCAATAGAAGTCGTCAGTGTATTTTTCCGTCATAACTTTAAACTCCACGACGGCGTGAAAACCCGTACAAAGTCGTGTAAAGTAACGCGGCTTGTATGTACTTAAGGCTCATTTAGATGGAGAGAGTTTCTCGTCTCGAACATACGATTATCGAAAGGATATAAAAAACTTTCCTCGTCTAAACATTCGCGATTATCGACCGTCCACGTGAGCAATAATCGCCTCGCCTTTGAATATTGAACGTCTCCGTGTAAACAGAACTCGAAAGCAAAAATCGTATTTCGAGTTTCTGTGCCAGCCGTTTCTACCACGAGTGCAGTGCGCGAGGGTGTTTTGATTATCACTGCTTTTCTAAGACAAGAATTAATGAAACGAGAACGAAAAAAAATTTGGATTAAGAAATGTTATAAAATTTGAAAAAAATTAGTAAAAAAATGTATATTTCTCTACAATACAATGAACTTAATATTATCAGCAGTTCCAAATTTGAATGATTTTTGCGTCATTTCGATATGTCCATAGTCAATACCGCAGTAATCACTGAACTAGAATGGCGATTCTCGCACTCAAAACGAATCGAACCGATTTGTACGATAATCGTATGAACTTGAAAAAATGTCATATGAGATCGAGTTTACACAAGTCGAAAACTCGTAAGCAAGAATCTCCTTACTACATATTTCTCTGTGTAAACAGTCGAGGAGGCGATTAAGTTGCTTGCGAATCTCGTATGACATAATCGTAGGCGAGTTTTAGTTCTTGCCTGAATGTAAACATTATGATACGATAATCTTATGGCGATTATTGCTTATGATAATCGCCTACGAGTTTTCGTCACGAAGCGTGCGAGAAACTCTCTCCATCTAAATGGGCCTTTATGCACACACTCTCATAATCTCGCAGTACATGCGTTGCATGACGTGGGTCGCACATGACATTAGCGGGCTTTATAAGTCACCATATCGCGATACAGCAATCATTAAACGCGCGTGTAAAGACGTTGGAAGGAAAATCGCGCGCGCAATCACACACTCCAACGTGAAACTCACGCGGTTTATACAGTGTGTTGATTTGAATTCTCGCCATATTTAAGAAATTAATAATAGAAATGCTAAATCATCTAAAATATTAAAAAAATATTCTGTTCAATATTCGGGCTAATTGTATCTAATAATTATTAATACAAAGATCGAACGCTCAGAAAAAATCCTTCGATCCAGCCGAATTCGAACCGACGTCTTCTAGCTTATCGTGGCAGACGCTATACCAACTAAGCCACGGAACGAACCAGCGAACCTCACGAATTTTTCTACGTGCTTGCGTCGTGTCTTTGTATTAATTAAGTTTTCGAATATTCATAATTTTAGAGTAATAACAATGTTGTCGTCCATGAATAATAATTCAGATAATAAAATATAACAGCTAATGATAACTTCTAAATCTTATATATATATACAGGGCAATGTCGTGTCCAATTTGTATTTGTGAAAATTCAGTTGTAATTTGCTTACCTTTGAAATAAAGATAATTTGAATTTTGAACCCACGGAGGTGTATGATGATACTGTTTGCCAGTTTAAAAACCCTAATAAATTATTCACTGTATATGACATTTGCAGGTAGCTATGTTCTCAACGGTAGGGACGTCCAGGAATGGGTGAAGCCCTCGAGGAATTCTGGTGCCCAGAAATTTGATGAGGAATTGGTGTTGTATGAAGATGATGGCATTGCTATACCCATACGGTAAGCAGACACAATCCGAGTCCAATTTTGAAAAAAGTGCCGTTTAACCTGAAATAGAACTAATTAGAAATAGACTTCAAGGTGAAGGTAAACATTTTCATGTCGCAAAACTTCCATGTTATCCCTGATCATGAGACCAAAGAGGAAAATTATGATTTAAATGTTCATGTTTAAGTGTTGAAATTGAATTGGTACACCTACCCTACAGAGGTCCCGGGTTGAATTCCTGGGCCGGGAGAAATATTTGTATGGCCTACACTTGGTATGGTATGGTGTAATTAGCTGATGTCCGCAACTTGACGTCTAAGCGCCTATTTTGCGTATAGTGGGTGAAGGGTACTACTCGTGCCATCCAAGCTCCTCCAAAAATCCCAGCACTCTTCTGGGTTTTTCGAAGACTTCGGGGAGCGACCTCGGCACTCCAAGGTATTTTGCCCTGTAGTTGGCAAAATATCTTGTATTTGGTGTAGGATGTGGGCGGCGGTTTCCTCCCCCTCCACGCATGCTCTGCATAGAGGGCTGTCCGTGATACCTAGATTGAAAAGGTGTTTATTAAATGGACCATGACCTGAGCGGCAGTTAGAAAGCGCAGCTCTTTCCTTTTGCGGTTAAGAAATTTACGAGATAGACGTTAGATAGGCGTTAAGCATGGGGAGTGCTTCCCTAGCCTGTCTAAAAACCGTAAAGGGTTGTCCAGGTCTTATTAAGAATAGTTTGTGTATAGTTGCTCTTGATCCACTGTGGTGTTACGTGGTTGTACGTACATACCTCCGTGAGTGCTTTGTGGCGTTCATGGATAAGTCCTGAGTTTATGTCATAGCCACCCAGTGCTTGAAGTACTGACATGCTGTCGGAGAGTATACGAATGGATGGCCTACATTTATTTCTCAAATGAATTTGGGTATAATATGTGGTTGTCTACGTGTGTGTCCATGGCACCCGCGATACAAGTTTCCCTAGTGCGGGGCTTTGAATGTGTGCGTTATTTATTGATAAGTTCTGGTATTTTTTTCTGATTAACTTATTTTTAGTTAATACCTCTGTCCATTACAGCCATACGATAAAGAAATTCAGTCGTCGAGATGGCTCCCCGAAGGCGCATATCGTCATAAATTACTACAACTACAATAAAAACATTTCTATCGAGGATCTTGAGTTGCCCAAGGGTAAGTGATATCATCATGTCAATTATACACTCCTAATCTTCAAGGGGGATCTACTATGAGCGCCACTCCCGGTTGCAAATTTCAGTAAATCAGCGATCTAAGGAATTCATGGCGCCTTTGGTTACTTATCAGTAGCCGGAAATGACATTTTCCTGAAATAACGTATGTTCGAATTTCCATAACCTCGAAAAATTTCGAGAGGACAACGTTTTTTCTTTTAAACCTAACTTATCCGAACCTAACCGTGTCTTTGCGATAAACATCCAACATGTCCTGAAAGAACAATGGTTTCGTTATAATTCGGTTTTCGATGTAATGAAAATTCGAACAATCGTTATTTCGGAAAAAAACTCGTGTTTGTGATAGGCTACCCTTATTAATGGTTAAATCTGAAACAGAATCAAATTTCTTTAAAATATAATAGCTTGTTAATTGCCTACATTATACAGTTCCGAAATTAATTTATTAGTGACGTCACATTTTAGAGCAGCCGTACAGGCTACACTATAGGTTCCAAGACCACTACCACAAAAAATAATTGAAAACACGTATTTTTTATATCCACTTAACACAAAAAATCATAAGCAAAAAATTTGTAGTATATAGTATATAGATAATTCAGGTTTTTTTTTCGAAAGCGGTAGCACTCGCCAGATTTAGATGCCGAAATCATAAACAAACAAAGTCTCCTTTGTTGTTTATGATAAACAAATAATCATTAAAAAGTAGGAGTAGATGTTAATGTAAAGAGACTATTAAAAAGTGACACTTTCAACGCAGTTACTGTCTTTCCTGTCATGACCGAAATGGTCATAGGAAGTCACAAGTGTATTCTGCTATCGTTGGTCGTATTAGAAACTGCTAAGTTCCATCCAGGATAGAAGCATTTAAAGGTATGTAAAGACACGCGGGACTTGTGGGCTGTGTGGTGTGTGTGGGATCTTTGTGGTTTAAAGTGGCACTGCAATTTTTATAGTGTTCCTGAGATCTTCGTGTCTCTGAATGGTACTGTAACAGTGAGCGTCCGATTTTTATCTGTTCCGAATCCGAGAAATAACGGTCTGAAATGTCACAGGGATCATTTTATCTTTACGTGTAGTACAAACGTATTTTCTTGGATTGGAATCGGACTTAGTGCACAAGCGACATCCGAAGCGAGGTCGAGTTTTTTAGATTTGTGTAGTCTCGCATTCGGAACAACGAATGCAGTATGCATACGCGCTTATGGGTAGGCGTGTCGCTCACCAACAAGCTCACGAATTGTTCGTCCTTTCGTTTGATAACAAGAAAAAAGCTCCCTACTACTGACTTTAAATAACTGTAATAATAATAATAAAATTGTTTATTGAATAACTTATTGTACAAATGAATAACTAAAAACTAATTATGCGAATAAATATAAAATATAACACATATACCTGAACTAGGAGAATCCTGTATTTCAGGTAAGAAGTATTAATTATACAGGTGAATATATGATTAATTTATAAACAAAAAGCAATTAAACAATAAATAGTAAATCATATAAGTACCTATACGCTTAAATTAGACAACCTTTATTTCGGGATAATTAATAAATTCTCTGTATCATTTTGAAGGAATTCTTGGAGAAATTTCTTAACCTTTATGTACCAGAAATGATATATGGCCAATTTGGCGTTTAATTTATTGTACAAAATTGGACCAAGAACACAAAAAATCTGGAATAAATACATATTTTGATGATACAATTTTGGGGCAGACAATATCTTTCCGTCTTTTGTTAGTGTTTTCAGTACTATATGGGAGTGCAATGTGCTGTTTGAGAACAGTGGACTTAATGAATAATTGCCTTACAGTTAGTTCCTTACACGACTTATACAGAAGGTAAGTGAGGTAAAGGAAAGGGCGGAAAGTAGAAACTTTTAGAACCGCTCGCTGGGCTCTCTCAATGGTTAGTAATGAAGTTTTAGAAAAATACCACCCCAACATGTAATGCAATATGTAATAATTGATTCACATATGGCATAATAAACTTGCCTGATTATTTTAAACACATACATTAGCATACGGATTCGACCGCTTAGTGCTTCGATATGGTTCTCAAAAGAGAGGTTATCATCTATTATAACACCTAAATACTTTATCTTGTTAGTAATGGCAATGTGCAAAAACACTTGCACAGGTTGTTAGTAGTATCCTTACAATGGTAAGCATAAAGTTGTGTGTTAGTTATAACAGACTTTGGTTTTCGCATATAGAACTGCATGAAACTAGTTTTATCCGTGTTTAGTGTTAATGAATGCTGCTGGAGCCAGTTATTTACGACATTGAATCCTCGCTGAGCATACTCATAGACTTCCTTATCAGAGTTAGCAGAAAAAAGCAGCACGGTATCATCGGCACAGGATATGATCTTCCCACCATCTAATTCTAGATTACAAAGGTCATTAATGTAGATCAGAAATAGAGTAGTAGTACTGTCGCGTTGATTGACGAATCGAAAAACAATGTTCAGCCAAAAAACATTGCTTGTCGCTTTTATAATAAGATTCCGATTGATATTCAAAATTTGCCATTTACGAGGTTTAAAACTATAGTGAAACAAAAACTTTATACTAAAGATATTCAGTTTCTGCGAACCTACTTGGATGACAAAAATCTGTGGTAGTCACCCGTTTAGCTCTTCCAGGTATTCTCGATCTAAGATGTTTAAATTAAATATTGTAATGATAAATATATTCAAATGTATATTTACAAAGCACAACCCCTAGAGTCTCTTGCTCATTCTTCTCATGAGAATCTGCCTTACGAATGAGCAGTAGAGTTTAATCAGTATGAGGATTTCAAGTGTAATTTGCTTACCTATGAAATAAAGATTATTTGACTTTACTTTGACTTTGACCTTGAATAAGAATGAACAGTGGCTTCTTGAACATTTACAGACTTGGGCTTCATATCACTTCGAGCGAGATGCATCTCAAACTCTTCTCCTATAATCATCGGCATGTTTGGTGATACCTTCTTGAACGACCAAGATCACTGACTGCTTTTTATTGATTATGACTTAATTGTAGCCATAGTTGTAACTTCTTCTAGGAGATTTAAAATTTGAGATCCTTATCGAGACATTAATTCCAATTGTTTCAGGTGCTGAATGTGACACCTTCGACTATGATTTCCATAAAGCAATCAAGTTTCTGCATCCGACAATACCTAGCGACGTCGAAAGTGCCTTCAAAAAGTAATTTACATTTTGAATTATTGTACGAAACTTTTTCCAATTTCATGAACATTCAACAAACGTCCATTAGAAATCGTCTTAATTTGTGACTGAATGCGCATGGCTTAAATGTGAAGAACAACGCTGGCACACCTTTAGAATATCATCCCACCTTGAATTTCGACAACTGTGTAGAGATATTACAGCGCCTTTCGACGGATGTACCACGGCAGTGCTCTGAAGAATTGTACAATTTTATCCCGCCCTCTGCAGTCACCGTTTCACAAAGTTATATTTATTCTATCGCGAACTAAAAGGTTTGATGGTACCTTTATTTATCGCATAGTTGACAAATGGAACTCTCAGTGCACATTCCGTCTGTCCTCCGTGTAAGATATGAGGTACTTCAAACGACGCGTGCGTAGGGATCTTGTAGGCATGCATTATGGAGTTGGTTACAAACGCACTAACAAGCACTTGCTTTATTGTCGGCCCATTTATATTCTACTGCTGGACATAGACGCCGAAGGGTATCGACAATAATAGGTACTGCTGTTTCAGGTACAAGAAGCATCACAATAGGAAGTATAACGATGAAGAGCATGAAACGAGAAGAGACATTTTCAAGGCTAATTGGGAGTAAGTATACTTTACCTAAATACACACATCAAAAGTGTCTAGGGATCAAGTACGTTTAAGAGTATTGCTGCAATTAGGGTTAATTATATTAACTTTTTTGTATCGCTATTGATACTTTTTAGTGAGTTTTAACATTTAAATAAGGAATATTGTTTAAAATTCGATAATAAGAAGAAAATCGATTGTCAATGTGGTTTTGTATAAAAATGAGTTATAGCGTTTTGACAAAATCATTACAATATCTGCATCGGAACCGAAACAATTTACATTATTATGGAGAGACGACATCATTTAACCCGAGAAGTGATGATGCGAGCTGTCGGAATGTTGGAAGCTGGTTCCAGGCAACGTGCTGTGGCTTTCACTCTTAACACTACACAGAGCGTCATAAGTCGCCTCTGGACGCGCTATCGCATGACGGGCAGCGTGGCCGAGCGACATGGAGGACGATCTCGCATCACGACTCGCAGACAGGACCGGTATATCCAAAATACTGCTCGACGGAATCGTACCATGACCGCCATGATGTTGGTTACGAGGCTCCACAGCTCCACAGGCTTGCTAATAAGCGATCAAACAATCCGAAATCGTTTACGTGAAGTGGGTCTGCGATCCCGAAGGCCGCTCAGAGTTCCACCTATTGCACCCTGCAATCGCAGGACCCGTTTACGATGGGCTCGCGAACACAGAAACTGGGAGGAAGAAGACTGGCGCTATGTGTGCTTTTCGGATGAATCCCGCTTCGGTATGAGACCGGATACAAGACGTACTCGAGTTTGGAGAACATCTGGACGTCATGAACGTTTGAGATATTGTCAGGAAGTTCATCCATATGGTGGGGGAACAATAATGATATGGGCCGGTATTTGGATCGGCGGAAGAACCGATCTCATTTGGATCAAGGGTAACCTCAATGCTCAAGTTTACGCAGAGAGGATTGTTTCAGATGTTATCATCCCCTTGCGAGGCCAGTTGGGTGATTCATTTCAACTAATGCATGACAACGCACGTCCACACACGGCTAGAGTCGTAACACGCATTCTTGCCGAAGCTCGTATCAACGTTCTGCCGTGGCCTGCTCAATCGCCAGACCTCAATCCAATTGAGCACGCATGGGATATGCTTCAAAGAAGAGCTGTGCCGAGTATGCATACCGTACATACTCTACAACAATATTTTGACTTGTTACAAAACACATGGGCGGCCATTCCTCAAAGTTATTTTGATGAACTCATCTTAAGCATGCCAAATCGCTGTAATTGTGTGATTCGTGTTAATGGTGGAAATACAGATTATGAATTTTCTTATCTTTACAATAAAAATGAGCAAAATCATCATTTTCGCCATTTTTTTTGTCATTTAATTGACGCCGTTAATTTGAGTTTTTTCCCACAATTTGCAAAAACATAAATTTTAGTTTATTTTAATTAAATATAGGGGTAAGCGGTTAAATAAAACATAAGCATTAAAGTAAGAAGTCGTCCTGGAAGACTGGATTTGGTAAATATTGCTTAAATAATTTTTATTTCAAAAATATTCACTTGATCCCTAGACACTTTTGATGTGTGTAGTTACTACGTTTTTGTAAAGGAAAGTTGTGTGTACCTCGTAAACTACAGAAGATAACATAAACACATTTCTAATAGCTATGTAACTTGTTACCATCGAGTATATAACCAGAAATAGAGACGAAATGTCATTTAATTTCTTTGAAAATTATTCTGCCAAATGATTACGATGACAACTGCGCTTCAAAACTGATATAAGGCACATTTTCCTGGTGAGTTGCCAAGGATGGAGCGCCCTTATTACGTCTCAATTTCTGGTTATATTCTCGATGCTTATTGCATATCTGTTATACTTCACAAGTAACAATGGACATGTATAAATAATTGATTTACAGATTTGTCAACGAACATAACAGCAAGAGTCTTGGATACGTTCTAGAAGTCAACAAATTTGCTGACAAGAGAGATGACGAGTTGAGCTATCTAACTGGCATTCGTTCATTTGGTGATGAACCAATCAAGTCACACAAGGGGCCCAAACGACCAATCAAAACACACAAGGGATCTGATGGATCCCCAATCAAGACTCGTGGCGGTCCTGATGGTCCAATAAAAAGATCCCCTTATACCGAAGAAGAACTGCCTGAAAACTTTGATTTGAGAATATTAGGAGTTGTTTCACCAGTAAAAGGTATAACGCACACACTCATAGTCACGAACTAGGGAAACCCTGTATCGCGAGTGCCATGGACACACACATAGACAACCACAAAATACACCCAAACTCACGAGATAAATGAATGTAGGGCATACAAATATTTTTCCCGGACCGAGAATTATGTATATTTTTACTGTGATGCCACAGTTATGATACCAGTCTCCTTAAACTTTTCTCTGAGAGAAACTCGAGAACCTAAACGGTACACGGAATATTTGTATATCTGCCGCTTAACCCCACATGAGAATCCCGTAGGACATTATACTATGGAAGTAAGTAAACTTGTCTAGCAGTACTAACATCGGTAAACTCACGTATTCTGCAGACTGTGTATGCAGCGGTGCTTAATCTGCTGACCAGGGAAGATATATGTGGAAACCATTGAAGTTTACTATCTAAAGTTAAGGGTTTCTATATTTGTTGTAGACCAATCTCATTGCGGATCATGCTGGGCTTTTGCAGCAGCAGCCACTTTGGAAGGAGCGATTGCATATTCCAATGGAGGACGAATTTTGGACTTGAGTGAACAGTCGCTTATAGACTGTGCTTGGGAGTACGTATTAAATTTATTTCCATCTAACTGTATTTGAAAGAGCGTTGATCTGCAGATGGTGTGCTTCACTGTCCAGGCGCCTGTCAATCTGATTTGTCGTAATGAAAACAATATCGATAAATCGCATTTTGGTATATTTTTCTAAAATAAATGTAAATGTTTTTGTATGTACATATCTTTAACCCTAATCAAACGAACCCGTTCAATAACGTTAGATTTGCTTCAAAAACCTTCCAGAAATGCATGATCTAAACATAAACCTGTGAATCCATTTAATTTTACGATCAGAACTGGCACCGATAAATCCTTATCACTGCCACGGTTCTGAAGTGCATCTGCCATATTTGCTGAAGCTCGCGTCGACAGTTTCATGGCACTCTTACGGAAGAAGTCGGCGTCTTTATTAAACAGAATACGTGGCAGCAGCAACGGCCTATTGAAGACTACCGCGGATAGGAGTGAGTGCCCCGTGATGCGGCACTTAATAGCAACCACAAAATCCGTAGTAGAATTTAAGTACTAACCTAATTATAACCTATTTTTGTTACTAACACTTCATGGATCCCCGTTGTCTGTAATAAAGATTTATTGTTATTATTATTATGCAATTACTTCAGCCATTTGTAAACTGATTTTGAGGATTTTTTAAATTGGAATGAGGAAACCTCAGTATTGGTCCCATTTAAATTGGAATAAAATATTTCATCGCTAAGGTTGGCAAACTAGGGGATAATTTCGGTTTCGAGCACTTTTCGGTAACCGATTTTAATAAAACTTGGCAAATTGACGTCATTCCTCGAACTTTTGATGTCGATTTCATTATGGACTACCAGCGCTTAGATAATGTATATATAATTCTGATTTATAAGCTTAGTCTAGAATAGAAAAAATATTTTATTACCAATGTTATTTCTAGTTACGACTGCAGAGGATGTCAGGGTTCGGCGGCCATAAACACTGTGTTTGAGTTTGTGGAAAATTATGGAATCCCTACTGATGACGAATATGGGCCTTATTTGGAAGAGGTAAATTAATCACGAAAATCGTTTACAAATAGAAAAAAAACTACAAGTCAGCAATGGTTAGCAGAAGAAGGTACTGTTGTACTGATGTGTTTTTTTATGGTATCAAGTGACGGGATGAACAAGACGTGGGCTTGGTGTTAAGCGACACGTCTGTCCATAACAGTGCAACTCAGAGCTTTAAATCGCAAAGATCTGAGGTACACTGTCACTACGCCCGTCGCCCTGAGACATGTACCATGTGCCTGTAATGTCACCAGCACCCAGTAATGCTTACATTACTGCTTGGCGGCAGAAATAGGTAAGGTAGCAGTGTTTTCTAGACAAACTCTTTTACAAGGTATCCGAGACCATAACTGCCTCCATGGCCGAACGGTTACCATGCCACGCAGAGGTACCAGGTTGGAGAAATATTTGTATGGCCTACATTTATTTCTCTTGTGAGTTTGGGTATAATTTGTTGGGCTATGTTGAGTGTGTGCCATTGACTTACAAATAAATGGACGACGGGTCTAATACAAAAAACCACGAAAAAAATGTCCCAAGTCAACCTATTTAAACGTAGTAACATGTAAAGGAATATGAAAAAGCTAAAACGTTGAATTTAAATTGTAATGTCATCGCAGTACTGTCTAATTTTGCTTGCTTCGCTGTCAGTCGAACAAACGAAGACTAAAGCGTGAATGACGCTCTGTATACGATTTTAACGCCCTATAAGTTCACACTTTTTAGCGCGGACCCGACGTCCATATAAATGTAAGTCAATGGTGTGTGCGTTATTTGTTTCGCAGACTTTCTTAAAAAGTCAGCAAACACCTTGAGTCCTAGAGTCCTACTGCTGGCATTGCATTTGCGGTATTTAACTGAACAAATCAGATTTATCATTTGGAGTATAATAATTAGTAAGTCAAACTCATTACATAGAATTGTTGCTACAGTCATTCTGCTTGAATCAGAGTGCTGGGCTATGCATTAAACAGATGAAAAGTCGGTGATAGTGCAAATTCACGTACCTGCACAAAACCAGATTCAACGTTATTTAATTACTTTGTTATTTTAATGGCAGTAGAGCTACTTGTGTCTTAGGGTGACGGGCGCAGTGGCGGTGACCCTCAGATCTTTGCAATTTAAAGCTTTGAGTGGCACTGCAACTGTTATGGACAGCCGTGTAGCTTGCCATCATAAAAAATAAGAAACCAAGGCTAAGATTTTCATTTTTGCACAGTAAGCATTAATTTACGTTCTCTACGGACCGATAGGTAATAATAGGGGTTAAAGTATGAAATTGCCGATTTGTACTGAAAATC